AGAAAAAAAAAAAAAAAAAAACCGAATGTATAACAAGAAGCTTTACCTTTCCCATAGCATTTCTAGGAAGGTCGTCCCATAATAACAGCTTTGTTGGAATCTAAAAACAAGCAGCAATACATATTTATAATAAGATCATCAAGCAGTAAATTTTAAATATAGAATGACAGGTTTAAAACATGAATTTATAATTCCTTGTGGATTTTACCCTTGTTAGGACAAACATAAGTTCCAACTTTATGAAGAAATAAATTTATTTGTTAATACTTTTCTTCCATTAAGTATTCTATTTACCCCTCCAATTATGATATATTCCGACATCCATAATATTTTTTTACTACCATGACAATATACATCATTAGCATCGCAAAAAATATAAATATAACAAATTAATTATTATTTGTGAAGGTACCAGCAAACTTGGGCTTCATTTTGGAAAGACTTATTTTATTATTTTTTAAAACAAATTTTTAGAACAAAATTTTCATTTTTTAACTTTAAAATTGCTTTAAGAAACAGTAAAAAAAACAGTCTCAAATGAAGCTTTAGAGACTAAAATTTTCTTATATATATATATATATATACTTATTTATTGTACTAACTTAGGAAGCGTATATAAGAAACGGGACCTTTGGATCACTCTAGCTAGAGTTAAGGTTTCGTTTGGGATGACTTTTTTACTGCTTTTAAAGCAGCTTTTTAGTTCAAAAAATTTAATTTTTGTACTAAAAAGCTGCTTTAAGAAGCGGCAAGAAAGCCGTCCCAAACGAAACCTAAGTCGAACATGAAAGGAAAGAAGGTAGGAAGAGTTAACCTTATAAGGTGCCAGTCTCTCCTTTGACCACTTCTGCAGCTCCTCCAAGCTAATAGCTGGTTTGAAGTCCTGATCAGCTACTTTCTTCTTGTTTTCGGTGGTCACAATTATTGCACACACGATCTCCCCATAATCCTTGTCTTGAAGACCCAACACACAACACTCAGAGACAACTGGGTGCTGAAAATAGCATGAAATACATTATAACACAATGAGAAGTCGCTCCAGCTATGAGCAAACCCAAAATACAAAGAATATATACAAATAAAAAAACTTCCTTTATATTACAAATGAAGTTTTTTAAATCTTAAACCCACATTTAAAACCCATTTTTTCGTAAATAGCAAAAAATTTAAGGTGTGCAATTTTACTAATATGATAGTCTTTTTAAGGTGTGCAATTTTACTAATATGATAGTCTTTTGTTTTAGCCATTGGAATATAAGTGAAATCTATTATTTCATACATCGTGAGCGAAAAGAAGATTAATGGACAATAAATACAAAATTATATATAGGAGTTCGTGCTACAGCCGCAAGGCCCGCAACTATAGATTTAACTATATGGTGAGTGACACCATAATTCCTTTCATGCAACCATAATTCATAGCTCACATAATAGAAAAATTATTCTGTGCGGACACCGAACGTCGTCCGGAAACCAATAAAAATGCACCATGTCACCTTTTACTGTACCACATCTCGGTACTGCTCAGTACCGCGGTTCGGTACCAAGACTCGGTACTGCGGCATCCGGACGTAGAGTTGAGTGGCGTCCACACAGAATAATTTCTCCACATAATAGGTGCAAAGATGGTTTATATACATGCCCGCCATTATAAGATTTATGACAAACTAAATTGTAAACTTCCGGAAGTATTATTGAACAATATACTATATAAATGATTTATCATATTACATCACAACAAGCTAAGAATTATATAATCTGGAAGAGATAATTCATTAATTAATGAGGCCAGATCCATAAAAGAAGCATATGAGAAAAGAGATGCGTGATGCCTGGTTGCTAGAGCTTTGTATTTATATGAAATCTGAAGCTAGAGAAGCCACTGTTCAATATGCTAATTGTGGTGGGTTTAGAGATGAGTACTTACCTCTAAAAGTACTGCTTCAATCTCCAATGCCGATAGTTTGTATCCTCCAACTTTCATGATATCAGCATTAGAACCTGAATCATATATATACATTTAATGCCCAAGAAGACTAAAAGCAAACAAGAATATATAAATGTATCATGTCATTTGTTAGTCAAACTCCGAAACAAAATGTACCATGAAATATACAATTATATGGCATCACTAACACCTAAGACTTAGGAAGAAGCATATAGATGATGCAAGCAAGGAGTAGACTCACAGTCATTCACGAACAGAAAGGCTAGAAACTAAGGATCCATGATTAAATATTCTGATAGCAAAAATTAACTGAAGTTCAGAAACAGAAATTTTGATCATCATCAACCTTTAATCAGGCCGCACGGATAATCTAATAAATTTATGTTATTTCTTCAAGGACATTTCAGACAGTTCAACTGAATCAATTACACACTCAAATTTGAAAATGGCATCATTATTCATGTTCTATTGCGTCACAGAATAAAATAAAACATACATTATTACTCAAGTGGTTGCATCAATTGAGGGGCCTTTAAACCACTAAATATGCTTTGAGATTGTTGTTGAAACACATATTTTTATTGATTACCATATATTACATCCTAGAAGTTTTCAGATATAATTTCCCATCCTCTAAATTTTACTGTAAGTTCTTATGCCTTGATACACTCATGTTAATAAAAGAAAGCTAAAAAGGAAGTAACCTCTGCAGACCAAAATGAATGGAACAAAGTAGTGTAGCCGAAAGTTTGTTAAATGTTATGATTTATGAACTTCTGATGAACATTCACAAAATAAATAAAATCACAATCATGCTTGTGTAACTACATAACTCATGTAAACTATAGGTGGGTTACACTCCATCTTGCATCTATATAACATAGATAAAGTATGTATCACAAATAGTAATGGTTAATTATATAAATAGGTGCTTTCATTGCCGATAAAAAGGGAATATTTGTGTACATGCCTAATGAACATTGGTTTTGGCAGCTAGTTAAATATTTTCCCAAATTATGACAGCAGCTTGAAGCTTAGTTTATATATATCCGCAAAGGTAAGAAAAAAAAAAGAAAAAGAAATCTGCCATACAAGAAATGCTACTTTACATTTGGTAGGATTACGGTTAAAAGAAATTCAAACAGAAAATTGACTATCCATTAGTAATCCATATTTAATGCTAAATATCAAAAAGTGAATTGCCATAATTTAAATGAGAATAATAACAAGTGAGAAGACTAATTTCTTACGTCCTAAAATAACATAGTAACCATCTTCATCTACCATAACAGTATCCCCAGTCTTGAAGAATCCACCATCAATGAATGATTCCTTTGTCACCTAGGGTAACAAAAAATAAGGGATATTTAGAAACATAAAATTGAAATCTTCTTTATTTAAAAATTAAGATTCAGGTTATTTTCTTGCACTACTGAAATCATATATATACGTATGCCTACATAAACTTTATAAATAGTCAAATTTTGGATGTTCTGTAAATCGACAAAATGCCTACACAATAAGAAAAAAGACTATTTCAAAAGGTGATAGACATATTTTTGCCCGCCCAAGACAAACCATCTTATTACTATATCAAAAGTATATTTCCCTCAAAATTTTTTATGTAGATCAGTTTTAAGTTCAAGGGCCGAGTATAGAAATCATGAATAGTTTAAGGGTGACAAATATACCAACATTAGCAAACATAAAACGATACCTAGGACTGTTATGGTTTTTCAATTAGTTGGCCTCCCAGAAGGCCATACTCAATATGATTCCATATCGACAAAAATAAATATAGTAAAAGTTACAAAGTTGAACTCTATGCAGGCACTAAGAGGAGTAATTTGACATTATGACCCCGCATGGAGGAAAAAATGTTGTAAAGGGCAACAAAAGTGTTCTAGAAGCAACAAAGTGTGCAGTAGAATAAAAGCTTTGGAGGGATTATACTTCATTCTCAATAGCTCCAAAAAACTGGCAAAAATGTACTAATTACCACAGACCAGAATCCCGTACAACAACAAGAACAAATTGAATGCATGAAGAACAGCATATGGCAAGCAATCAGAGTTTTCATATGACATCTACCAAACAACTGCAACAAAACGATCAGTTTTGAGGCCACAAACATTCATTAAGATTAGTATGAGATGTTGCGGGATATAGATGCACAAATTCTAGTAAGCATCTTAGAGGAATTGAGAATCTCAAAGGTCATAAATACCACATTAAACTATCCAATTTCAAGTATTAACCTTCTAAAGGTTAAGCCCCAAACAGAAACAGAGAAACCCCAAAAGGCATCAAAGAGTGCATCCTTAAAGTTCTTAGAAATGCAAAATGCCACAAAACTGTTGCTAGCGCAGCATAAAGGGAATAACATGTGCTGTAAAGACAAAAGTACCCAAAAACGTGTGAGCACACCAAGCCAAAAGGCAAAAGAAAAAAAATTAAAATAAGAGGATAGCTTGACAACCATGGAAATTGCTATGCAGTTAAATGTAAACCACATGCTTGTAAAAACAGACAAAATGCAACAAGCTTGCTAAATAAGGATTTGTCGATTGGTTTGGATGGCTTGGCTCAAATTATCTTATTGAGTCAACAAAATACAAAACATAATCTAGGATCCAATTTGGATGGGTTACAAAAATCCTACATCAATCAAGCTAGGCTAACTAAATGATTATCAAATAACTAAAGAGAATATTTACAAATAACTAAACTAACTAAATGGTTATAATAAATGCATTTATTCCTTTACATGCCTCTACAAGATAGAGGACCGATCAGAAAGTTCTACTTTGATACTCAATATAGAATAGTGAGTTCATGGAAATGGCTTGGTGATAGCAACTGCTTGCTGATCCTAAGGATAATACATGGGCCACATCAAGGGCATTATTTCTATTTATACTTTATATCAAATAAAAATGATAATTAATAGCCATCCGTTTCATCCATAATGATAGAAAAAATTTGCACAAAGATGAGTGGCAACCACATTGTCAAGATAGTTCACCGAGGCTTGAGAAAGCTAGATGCCAAGTTTGGTGAGAATAGAGCATGCCCAACAAAGCTAACAGTTGCGGTGGAAATAGAGTGGTACCAACCAAGTGTAGCGGGCTACAATACTTCATTTCTTAGCACTCTAAGAGATGAGACTTCAAAAAAGATACACGTGTGAGCACTTCTAGCAATGGAGCCATCTTTAATACCTATTTAACTGATATCAGAGAATGATGAATTTGAAGTGGTGAGCCATGATGAAGGAGAATGCCAAACTAATAGTGCCACATAAAAAACAAAATAGCCATTTTGCTACAATATAGTTTATTAGCATGGCGGTGAATACATTGAGACATATTTCAATAATCATGAAGTCTATCTCTGGGCATGCAAGAACCATGCACGGTAGATTGCTCACAATAACTTTGTAATTAGTTATATCAGTGAGTGTAGAGCTACAATAAGTGAATACTGAGCATTGGTGAGGAAGAAAACAATATAAATGAGTAGCATCTATCATTTTAGTACAAGCAAGAAGATCAAGCATGTACCAAAACTAAAAAAAGAGAAATCCTTATGGATACAGAACAACTTCTACACCATTAAAATAATGTAAATGGCTCGAGATCCTTAGTTGAGAATCATTGGACAAGAAGAGTGACATGACAATATATAGTAATATCAATATTACTTATGATGATGAAGTCTTTAACAAAAACTAGAAGATATATAAGTGTATCACTAGTATTGGAGACAAAGAAAAATATATCAACTAGAAAGTTAGTGAAATAGAAGAAACTAGAAATTGTTTTAGCTCATAATAACAGTAGGTAAAGGGATCTTGCTTGAGATCATAGATGGTTTCACAAAAACCGCAAACACATGTAGGATGATCTTTGTCAATAAACCTTGGGAGTCAGGCTATATGAAGATGTCCTCAGGGAGAGGACCAGGAGACAGGAAGTATAGACATCGAGTTGACATAGAGACCAATGTCGATTGACAGCTATGTGATAGGTGTCAAATCGATGCTCTGATACCAATTTGATAGGAAACACTTGGATTCACAAGTGTTCCTAGCCAAAATCAGTAAACTGCAGCGATGATATTGCTGTCCACAGCAGGAAACAACCCACAAACAGAGAAAAACAGGAGTTTTACACGAGAAATCTGAGAAAAAAATCAAACAAAACCCTTGTATTTCACTAGTAGATGAATAAAACAGCAAAGATACAATTGATCCTCAATTCGAGAGGAGGATTGATCTCTCCCAAATCTCTAGACGCCGCTAGAGCCCAAAGAAAACCTAAATCTAAGAGATCTCAAATTTCAGCCAAATTCAAGATGATCAAACCCTAGAAAAATCAACTATTTAATGCATATAATTCAAAAGAAATTCCCTAAACAATCCCTGCAATCAATTTCCCTCTTAAACTTTCTCAAATTTCCTTCCTGAAACCGTCCCGCAAGGCGCGCGTCTCGCGCGGCTTCCGCTCAGGCGGAAGCTTTCGCCGTTTCGTGTCTGAGCCAGTCCCGCCTGGACCGGCTGGACCGGTCCAACACTATGCTAAAAAATTAATTGTATAATGGCTGACTTCATAATAAGATAGAATTTTTTATGAAAATCCCTCTTAACCATTAGTGCAAACCTTTAATCACCAATCACTATATATAAGTATAAATTGAGCTATGAAATTCATGTTTTATTCAAAAATCCACTTGCACAAAACTAGGTTTTGAGCTAATGTGCAAAGAAATTCCCATATTGGACGGTTTGAAAATTGCCACACACATTTTCTTATTGAGTTAACATAATATAAAACATGATGGAGGATCCAATTTAGGTAGGTTATAATAATCTTATCATAAATCAAACAAAGTCAATTAAATATAAATCAAATAATTGAAGTGAATATTTATAAAAAAGGAAACTAACTAAATGCTTACAATAAATGCATTTATTTCTTTAAATTGTCAGCCCTCTCAATAAGTTACAAATCCTATAAGAATTTCCTAAATTAAAACTAACTCAAATTCCAAGTCCAATCAAAACCAACTTATGGTTTTTTTAGTCATTTTTAGCTAAGAGTGACTCAGACACTAGTTTGAGTCAATTTTGAATCATGTGTAGCTCACTCGAAGATGAATCAAAGCAGTTCCAAAAAATTTGTAAATATTGATATTTGCTCAATTTAACAAAAGAGTTGGTCAGTTGTAAGAGTTTCTCCATCATGCACAATCTCTCAATTTCAAATTAACCCTAAAACTCTTGTTTATTTTCAATATTAGTCTGCTTCAAATAAATGACTCAATTCGAAATCAAATTGACTATAATGTTGGAACAACTAATAAAAAAAGATTTTAATTTCACATCACAATTGAGCAGCAATAAAAAAGATTAATTATTTTTTTGTTGAAGTTAGATAAGGCGGCTTGAACAAGGCTTATTATTAGTTAATCAAATGAGGGAACCTAGAGGATATTGACAAACAAATAACGGATTGAAACAATATTTTACAATTAATTAAAAATTAAAGATAAAATTACAATCTACAAATACAACATCTTATGATATATTCATTTATACAATTGTATTGTTAATTTTATCCAATATTCTTGCATATTATGACTTTCTCAATTATTAATCCTCTTTCTCCACCAACACCCCTATGTTAAAATGTAGAGTTAGATTTCCTCAATAATTCCTTCGATAATCCTTGTAATTCATAGAAAATCTCTGGTCAAAAATATGTTGCTAGAATTCAAAGATTTGTTAGCAAAATCAAAATCAAAAGCTAAAGATGTGTTGCTAATTTCAATAACAGAATGTTAGTAGAACTTGCTTGTCTAAAAATCTAAAAGTTTTAAGCTTAAAATTCTGAAACAGATTTGTTTCCTAAATCAAATCTGAAGTTGTTTAATTGGTGATTGGTGATGTGAGGGTACTCTGACAAGCCTTTATAAATAACTTAAAGTGCTCAACTACAAGTTCTTGAGCGGTGGCAGAAGTCACAAAGACTGGTGTGACCTTGATCAATAAGATCGGTGGTAGGCACAGAAGATGCATCCACAGGTGACCTAACACCACATAAGGTGATCGATAGTGAAAAGCTGAGTTATTGTCATGATGATAATTTTTCTTGACGACTACACCTTGTATAGTATTACAGTTTTTCTATTGTATAACTCATTGCTCTAACTCCTGCTTTCTATCTCCCATTGCTTTCCCGCTACTATTTCTTATTTCTGATGTTATTTGTTTCCCTCTATGCTATTTTCACTACAGTTGTCACCTTGCTTTCGACCTATAAATGTTCCCTCACCCTCCTCTGTCCTCCTATATGCATTGTTGCGAGCTAGAAATCATAATTGGTGTTTCACTCTTCCACACTTCAAGAATTATGTTGTTTTTTATTCCCCTATTTTTCTTAGTCAGCTTAGCTATTGTAGCTTGTACCCGACACCTATATACTCATGAATTGGAATTTAAACCGGGAGTGAAATTTCTAGAGAAGGAATTGATGTTCTTGCAAGAAGGATAAATTGAAATCTACTGTATTTGAATGAATCTTAACAGATAATAAGAATTTTCTTATTTTAGGTCATTTCTAAGATACGTATAAGACCTTTGAGGAATGCAAAAATTGATCAGTAAGTATTACAGTGAAATTTCTATTTTCTTCGGTTCTTGTGTTTGGTGGTAGGATGTACATTCTTTGAGTGCTTTGTAGGTGTTGACAACTACTTCCGAGGGAAAGTCTCCTTATGCCAATGTGATGCCAAGTTCATTTTGGATTATTTTTAACATTTTTTTTATTTTAATTTTTTACTCTAGTTTGTGGGTATGATTGAAATTTTATAAAATTGATGTATATTGAGTTAGCTTTTCGAAGTTTGAACTTGAAATTTTTTTTAAAATTGATGTTTGTTTACTATTTTTATTATGAAATTTCATATATTAGTGACTATTAGAATATTATTTAGAATAAACGATTTATTATTTCTATATAAAAATTGATTTATTTTTGCTAAAGTTACAAGTTGGTAAAGTGCAGATTGTGATTTTTTGTCTTTTCATTGTGTATGCTATTTTAGGTTGTATTAGTAACCCTAGAAGCTTAATTGCCCAACATCACTAGCAGTATGAGGCAATAAGGCACACAATGAGATTAAACCTAAGCGAACCAATCGTGGGTACCAAAAAATGCTTGCAATTCATAGAAGGTAATCCTTCATTTCTATAAGACCTCATCGATGCATATCAATGTAAAGAAGTAACAAGTTAGGATAGACTGTATGTCTAAAATTCAAGTTAAAAGGAAAAAGTTCAGACATGAAACTTGAGAATTTGTAACTTAAAAAAAAAAAAAAAGGAAGGCAAAAGGCAAGGCGAGACAATTGAAAAACAGAAAAGATAGTTGAAAATAAAGTTATTAAATTTGCAAACATCAAACTTCAAGCAAGCAAGACGCTCAAATTAGTTAAGCAGGAAACTCCCAAATAGACTTCAATAAACTCCCTAAAGAACACCTCGAGCAAAGAAGCAGGTAAATTATTCAAACAAATAAGGAAGAGCAACAAAAATCTCAGACCTATAACATTAAAATTTTAAATATTAGTGCAATTTTCTGACAACATTCTACCAAAAGATGATGGGTACATAGCGTCAGCATCTGTGAGATGAGGGGATTTATTCTGCAGGAATATACCTTAGGTTGTTTCCAATATTCTTTGAAGAGGGAAGGGCTTCGAACACAAAGTTCTCCAACTCCATCTGTGTTATTTCCATCTTCTCCAATTATCTTAACCTGGAAACAAATAACAAAAGAAATAGAATTTAGGAAAACATAATAATTGATATCAACTCAACATAGACCTTACCAGACATAATTTGCTAAAGTATACAAAAGTGCACAAGTTAAATGAAGCTACAGTCAATTCAACAATGCTTAGAGAAATTTCAAATAATGACAATTGGGCAGCATCAGTACCAGTTCAGCATTCCAAAAGATTAGTAAGTTCTTAGGTATGAATCAAAGAGATTGGTTAATTTCATGCAAATTTAAGTTGAATTTTACTATTTGTTGTTTAATCCTGCACACATTGCATAAAAAAAAAAAAAGAAGAAGAAAGATCCTAGCATACCGTCTATGCAAATGATTACAAAATTGTTTTCATATCATAGACAAATTAGACGTAAATGTAATTTCCCAACAATCTTCATCCTGAACGGATTCTGCTCAACTGAGATCTGCTGACCTAATTAAGCTGATTTTTTTGTCTCGGCCCTTACCTGTCCCGCAGGTCGCCCACGTCGAGTCCAGCAGGTCGCGCCTCTTTGCTCGAACCCACGCGCACGACCAAGCTACCTCTCTTCACTCCCCGAACTCCTCACGCCCGCACTCTCTCGTTCTCCCATCTTCCCTCTCACTCTCTAGGCATCCCGCTCTCCTATATTTCCAGAAACTCTCAACTACAGAGGAATTCGCAACTGGAAGTTCGCCGCAGAAGTCCTCGACAAGAGCTACGGCGCGTGAAGGAGGAACAGTGGTGATGTCCTCGGAGGAGGCAGCCGTCCAAAGACAAGCTCGAGCGCGATTCTGTAGACGTCAGTCGCGGGAGCGAGCAAATGATGTACAACTAATACCCCACTTCACGCGAAACCCTTGATGTTTGCATAGAAAGTAGGGAATTTTACATACATAACACTTGAAACTATTATATTTACCTATCTAACATCCAAAGTATACTATTTACATATCTACCACCCAAATACACCCCGTTTCATCTAAATTACCACTCCGTTATGCTATCTGCTCAAACCCATCGCGTCTTCGTCGCCAGAGTAGGTTTGCTCTCGGTCTTCTCCAGTTCTTCGGGTGAGGTGCACTAGATCGGAGCAGCAGGATGCTGCGTGGCTTTCGGCGGAAAATTCATACGGTGGTTTGTCGGAGGAGGAGGAAGACGATGGAGGGCACTGAGCGATAGTTCTTCTTCTTATACATCTTCATCTTGTTCCTCTTCGCCTTCCAATGCCTGTTTGATTTTATACAACACCTCCATACTGGCATCGAAGTTCTCGCGAAGAAGGATGTTGGTGGATTTCACGTCGCAGTGGATTATGCTCTGAGAGTAATCATCTCTGAATGCTCCTCACAGTAAAGATCTATAGAGTGCTTTTTTCCATGTACTCGTAGATCAGAATCATCTCTGAATGCTCCTCACAGTAGCTGATGAGGGAGACGAGGTACCGTTGACGGATTCAGGAGAGTACGACGATCTCTGTTTGGAATTCAGGGTATCCCTGTCGCGAACCAGGCACGTCGCGCTTCACGGCGACTTTGGTGCTGTCGGAGAGGACTCCTTTGTACACTTTACCGAACCCGCCGGCGCCGATGACGAGATTCTCATCGAAATTGTTCGTCACAAAGATGACTTCCGAATACGATATTTGGAGGTCGAGATTAAGCCGAAGGGAAGCAGAGCTCTTTGGTGTTCGATCGGCTGTGGATTCGCTTGACGTTCTAAAAGCCAAGTTCGCTGCTTTAGCTCCTGTGTTGTAGTGCAACCATGATGCATTCGTCGTGTCTTTCTCTTTCTCGACCAGATTTGGCTTTGATCAGCGGCGGTGTAAGCGTAATTGAAGGATGAAAAGCAGGAAAATAAGCAGGACAACACCGCCAAGAATGGAAGGGAGTAAAATAGACAAGAAATGATGGCCGCCGTGGCTTCCTGCTCCGCTATCATACAAGCCTAATTCACCTCCGTGGCTTCCTGCTCCACTATTTTAGGGACAGCCTATTTCCGTGACTTGATTTTGACGGAAGCAAACGAAGTGTTATATTCGATGAGGGATAGGGCATTACGGTGGTAAAAAAGTAAAATTTGAAGTTTGGGTGTGAGATAAGTAAATAAGGATGTTTTAGATGTTATGTATGTAAAAATCCCTAGAAAGTATTGTATTAATTAATATTGTCTATAATTTAATTTTATTTATTAAATGTTT